CCCACGCCCCCCCGCCGACGGACTGGAAAGTACAAACTGCCCCCCCACGATGCCTGAGACCCCCTCGACTAGGGCCCGCAAACCCAATGACACGAACGCGAGGGGCCCGAAACAAGGGCCCTTTTTCCAATGACGTCCGGGAAGGGCCAGGCCTCAGGGAATTTTTTTGTCACATCGTGCGCACCAGGCCCCCCTCGCGACAATTTTGACGTGCAGCCACCGTTCGATGCGCAGATCGAGCAATCGCACGGCAGCGTGCAGACCCTGCACGGAAATCCGAAACGGAAGGCCCGAGGGGGCCTCGTGTCCCGCGCGCCTACATATATGAGCGGCGCCCTGGGCATTGACGATGCATTTTGCGTTTTTGATGGGGAGATGCTGCCCAACGGAAGCCTCGCACCACCACTGTCGTCAACAGCAGTAGCCCGCACAGCTGGAGCGCCATAGCTGGAATACCCATTCTTCACCGCGCTCGTTTCCCAGCACCGATGCACCCCGCATGCCCTCGCATGTCCCTCCGCCTACCAAGTCGTTGTCCACGTCATATTCGACGTCGATTCCACTCTCCTTTCTCGAAAGGCGCGCCCACCACCCCACGCAGTACCCTCGCAAACACAAAGCACACGCCCAAAGGTCGACAAAGTGTCGTCACCATTAACGCCGGGGTTCGCGCTCATCTCCACTCGACAGTTTCACACGGTGAGTGCGCATGCAGCCGGGACGTATGTGTGCATGTGCACGCGTGCGGGCGGGTTTTGTGACGATATGCTCGCGCAGATCGAAAGAGTTTGTGTCTGCATGTGTGCGGGTGGGCGTGTGTGTGTGTGTGTGTATGTGTGTGTGTTTGTGTGCGAGTGTGTGTTTGTGCGTGCTTTATTGTGTGTGTGTGTGTTCCAGTGCGTGTTCCATTGTGTTTGTGTTTGTATTAAGTGTGTGCCACACGCGCGAGGCAGGATCATGCGCGTGTCTGTACCTGAGGGGCGTGTGTGTGTGGGCGCCGTGTGGTGGCGCGTGTGTGCATGTGTGTGTGTGTGTGTGCGTGTGCCTGTCTGTGCATATTTGTTCGCGTGTGTGTGTGTTCGTGCACATTGAGCGTGGGGAGATGCTCGCGAACGTGCGCGGTCAGGGATGAATGACATGGTTTCCACTTCGATTCCCCGAATGACGCTTGTGTGTGGATGTGTGAGGAAAGTATCAAAAACGATTGCGCTCGTGCTGTACTCAACCTCATCTTGAGCACTTGCCACACTCGACTGATCCTGATTGATCCCAATGTCATGTCCGCCGATCTGCCCAATGGATGATCAATCGAAACACGCGGTGGAAGTGTCGATACAGCGAACGCATCCATCGACCAATCGTGAAACACGATGAGATCACTCGTGATTGGATGATAGATCGTGTCGACGTTATCACCGTGTGTGTATTGTTAGTTCTGTCGTGTGTGTTCAGACCACTCGTGATCGGATGATCGATCAGATCCATGGCAATATGCACACCACACACGTGATGAGCCGACCCATCACCAAACACAAGCCGACCACTCGCGATCGGGTGATAGATGTTGTTTGCTGCCCCAACAACATCGCCCCTGGTCTGCCCAACGGATGATTAACCAATGCACGAGGCGACAACGTCTGGATCGCAAACACATCCAACCGACCACGCAATAGATTACTTGCGATTGGACGATTGATCGTGTGTGCTACACGGAAGACGTCGCTGCTTGTGTGTTTCGATCGTCTCAATGGCAAAACCAAAACACACGCGGCGATGTGCATGCGTGTGTGTGTGTTTGCGTGTGCGTGTGAGTGTTGTATGAGCACAATAACCTGTTTTATGTCTCGCCAGACGATGTGTGTGCGAGTGTTTCTGTGCGTCTGCGTGTGCGAGATGCAACCCGTCGGCGAGCGACCTGTTTATCTAACCACCTGATAGTCATCGACCGAACTGTAGATTGGTAAGGGAATCTGCCTGGATCAACTGATTGGCGATTGCTCGATCGGTTGATCAACGGTCATCAACCACCACACCAACCACCAACCGAGCAGCCGATCAATGAGCTGATCCTGACAGATTTCATAACCAATCGACTGTTCTGTGCACATTGATCCTGGCAGAATCCTCAAGGCAAATGATCATGTGCACGATCGAAACCCGCGAACGAATCACACAACCGGTCGGGAAAACGTCGATCCCGATTTGCGAACGGAAAAAAAGCACTTCGTCACAATCTTGTTGGACATCGAACGTCGTATAACATCGAACCTGGCTCCACATCAAACCTCGGCGGGCGTCGAACCTCGTCGGACGTCGAACTTTGGAGGACGTCGGGTCATTGACACTTGACGGTCACTGAACGACGAACGTTGAGCAGCCATCACCCCACGCATCACCGGCACAGTCCTCGTGATCGGGATGTGACCGTTCCAATCCGCCAGCACAAACTTGGCAGTGCCAACCAAACTGATCGCGCAATCAAACATCGGAAGAAGTCCGGATTTCGGCGAGCTTGAGCAGCTGTTCGAACACGCTTCGCAACCCCGGACCGCAACCACTGCTGAGGACGTGTGAAAATTTGAAGTCCGCTAGGATCCGAACTTCAAGAAATTGTTGGACGGCGATTTGGCAGATAGGTGTGTCTCTCCCACGCAATTTCGCGAAGTTCAGACCCCGACGAACTTCAGGTTCCCGCCTTTCGCAAGACATGTTTGCGGCCCGCCTGCTGGCCTGTGGATCCGAACCTCGCTAGCACGGTTCCTTGCATAATCATCAACTCCGGACCTCGGTGAACTTCGGATTCGTGAAAATGCGAAGTCCGCCGGGATCCGGACTTCTCCTTCACGGTTCCTCGCACAGACATCAAGTTCGGACCCTAGCGAACTTCGCTTTTCGCATTGTGTGGGTTCCGAATGCGGACTTTCTAGCGCCCGGGGGATTGGCACAACTACGGATTCGAAAAAATGTGAAGTCCGCCGGGATCCGAACTTCTCGAGCACGGCTCCTCGTTCAATCGCCGAGTTCGCCGGTTGTTTCTCTCCCGCGCGGTTTCGCCAAGTTCGGATCCTGGCGAACAATAGATTCCCGCCTTTCGCCAAACATTTTTACAGCTCGCTTGCCCTCCCGTGGATCCGAACCTCGCGTGCCCGGTTCCTCACACGTTCGCCAAGTTCGGAACCCAGCAGACTTTGGATTCGTGAAAATGCAAAGTCCATCGGGATCCGAATTTCTCGTGAACGGTTCCTCGTGCACTCGTCAAGTTCGGACCCCGGCGAACTTCGCTTCCCGCATAGTGTGGGTTCTGACTGTGGGCTTTCTCGCGCCCGGTGGTTTGCCACAACTTTTGTTTCGCAAAAAATGCGAAGTCCGCCGGGATCCGAACTTCTAGTGCACGGTTCCTCGTCCCATCGTCGAGTTCGCCGGCTGTGTCTCTCCCACGCGATTTCGCCAAGTTCGGATCCCGGCGAACTTGAGATTTCCTCCTTTCGCAATTCATGTTCGCAGCCCGCCTGCTGGGCCGTGCATCTAAAACTGCCGTGCATGGTTCCTCGGGCAGTCGTCAATTCTGAATCCCGACGAACTTCAAATTCGATAGAATGCAAAGTCTGCTAAGGTCCGAACTTCTCGTGCAAGGTTCCTCGTGCGGTCGTCAAGTTCGGACCCAGGCGTACTTCAATTTTCGGGTGGTGTGGGTTCTGACTGTGGGGTTTTCTGGCGGCCGATGGATAGCCACAACTTCGGATTCTTAAAAATGTGAAGTCCGTCGGGATCCGAACTTCAAGAAATTTTGGGACGGCAAGTCTGAGAGACACCTTTGTCTCTCCCGCGCAGTCTCGCCAAGTTCGGATCACGGCGAACATGAGGTTCCCACCTCTCGTGGGACATGTTTGCGCCTGGCCGTCCGGCCGACAGATGTAAACACCGACCAAGTCGACCGCCCGAAATCAAAATTTCGAGTGTGCACTCCGTCTGGTGCCATGGGTCGCAGATCGCAAAACACGACGTGTTTACGAGTGTCTCCGTGCCCGTGTGTGTCGTTTGGCATGTGCTCGTGGTGTGTAGGGTGCGTAATGGAGGCGACCTTCTCGACACCACGAATCGTGAAGCCGATCTTCTCGACACCACAGACCATGAGTCCCGAGACGCACATTCACTTGGCAGAACTGTTTCCTCCTTGCGCGAGATCCGTGCGGTATTTCAACGGTGTAACTACGATCCACGGAGCGACTGCAGAGGACTTCGACGAGGACCCCTAGATGACCGTCGTCCCGTGCCTGGAGGGGCATATTGACGGCTAGTGCGATCGGAATTGGGCCACGATGGAGAGTCGCTATCCTTGGGCAAGCCAGTACAAGTTCGCCAACATGTTGGAGTTCGGGAACCTCATCCCGGTGTCTGACGCTGTCCTCGAACACAAGTTTCTGAACCACATGCGCAGAGCACTGGGAGCAGGAAACTCGTCGATGTAGTTGTGTTTGTATCACGCAATGAGGTGGTGATTGAGGGGTCCAAATTCGTGGCGACGCGTGGGCCTGAACGTGTAGATGGGTGGCGTGATTTGGTTATAGCAGGGCGGGTCCAAAAATTTTCGTTGCATCGTGAGGTCGAGGAGAAAGTGTGCGATAAACGGGACTGTATAGGGAATTCCTTATCACGACCGGGAGTGTTTGTTAGGATTAAATACATGTCCGTCTTTTCCGAGAGGGCATCGGTAGACGAACCGCAGATCCACGTATACGGATCATCAATGAATACTTTGTATGGCTTCGGTTCACGACGTCGTCCCAGGGGAACCCCGAATGTCGACACATCTGAACGGGTGGTCAGTCCTGGTGTTTGAGGGAAAAGAAGGGAGAGGTTTGAGATGTTGTTTTGCTGCCTATAACACTAGATTTGTAGCAGTGGAGGGAGGTGTGATTGGCAACAGTTGCTAGCTTTTCAACCAATGGGATTTGTGAATTTGAAGGGTATATGGATTTTCCGAAGGTCAAATCAAATATGATTTGATTCATCCGGAATAGGTGTAATTACTCAAATAAAAACAGCTTCGCTGGTTGTCGACAAAAAAATATCATAATTAATTACGACTGGCGTCAATGGTTTTTTGGTGATCGCGCCTAACGGCGGCTTCCTGGAAGCGGGAATTCTTTGTCAAATTAAATAAAGTGAAGCTTATGAAAACCAAATATTTCTGTTTTTTAGAAATCGTAGGTGTTGGATATAGACGCCATACCGCGAACTTGTCGTGCAAATCCCTGATCGTCGTTCAGTCCAACGACCAACGAACATCATGTTGGAGGTCTATCTCTGACGCCGTCTCCTTCACTGTCGCGCCCAGGCGAAGTTCGAATCCCAGCGAACTTCGTGTTTTGGGTTGTGCGTTGATTTGGCTTCGGTACTGTTGGCGTCGGGCGGGCCGCAAGAACCAGCGGGGCCCATGGGCAGGGTCTTGCTTGAGGCCGCAGGCCCGTCCGACCGGCCTTCGAGCTACGAGTGTTTGTCGGAGACCAAAATCCAGCCGGGCGTGGCGTTCAAAAAGGATATGCGACCAGTTTCGCCTGGGCACGTTCGCGATCTGAGACCGCCGCCAACCGAACTTCACAAACACTATCCGTGTTCGGTTGTCGCCCGTCCACCATCGACATGTGCCAAACAGTCGATCATTGTAGTTGTGAAATGCCAAAAGCACTCTTAGGTATCCGAGTCGCAGAGTTCGACGCTGGCCGAACAATTCTGAAGTTCTCCCTCCAACACCTTGCTCGGACCCCAACTTGCGTCTAACCTCATACGTGATCCAGTGTTTCTCTCTGTGTCTTTCTCACAGCGTCCTTAAGTTCGGATCCCGGCGAACTTCCAGTGACGCTTGTCTATTGGACAGACACCGGTCTTCCTGATCCCCCGTGGATTGCGACAACAGTTCCTGTCCGCCCTGCTCCACACGTTTCGTTCTGCCCCACCAGGGACCCATACAATGTTGTCACGGCTGCGGCGCATATCAGAAGAAGTTCGGATTTCGGCGAACTTATCCTTCTCAACCGGCCTCTCATGTTTGTGTGGCATTCCCAGATCGTGGTTGAGTCCACGGATCGTGTGTCTCTGACGCCGTCTCTGCCTGTCGCATCGTCCTGAAGTTCGGATCCCGACGAACTTCACGTTTCGGGAGGTGCGTTGGTTTGTCTTCGGACATGCCCATGTGCTGGTTCACACAACCCGCCTGGCGACGGGGAGAGTTTATCTCCGACTTCTGGTTTTGATCAAATGCAGTTGTGGAGTGTGTTCGCTCGAGAACGGTTCTGGAACACCGACTACATGGGCTGGCTGTTTCTCTCTTTCTTTCGCACCATCTTTTAGTCGGGACCCGGGCGGGCTTCGCGAGCTAGTGTGTCCGAGTTCCAAGTGCTGGGCGGAGGACACTGCACCGTCCAACGCGTGCTTCGAACATGATCTCCCGTTCATTCCCCTTGTGGTCGGCAATCGTGTTTCGGAAATACCAATGTGGTTGTCGCTCGGCCGCATGATGTGTGTCCCGTTTTAAAGATTGATCTCGTTGCAGGTAAGAGGTCTGTCTCTAACGCGCAGTCCTTTGGTTCGGATCCCAGCGAGCTTCTCGATTTTCCCTATGCGTTGGTTTGTCTTTACGGCGCTTGATCCCCGACACTCTGCCTCTCGGCCTCGTGCACTATTGAAATTCGGATCCCGGCGAACTACCCATTCTAGCCGTTCCGAAGTTGGGTTCCGGGGTGTCTTTGCATGTGGATTTCGCTGCGCAAAAGCCTGCGTTGCCGTGTGCCGACGACTGTTTTGTTCCTGATGTGTTTTCCCAAACGTTGACTGCATGGTGCGTTGTATGATTTGGGTTGTCGTTCGTAGACAGGATGTCTTCTTCAAAGGGCGAGGTGGAGCCAACGGGGACCTCCGGGAAGGCATCGGGAAAAGATTCCATGAGGAGGTCGTCTACTGCCACGAAAGGGTGGTCGAACCATGCAAAGTCGAAATGGTTAATCGGCTGGTGCTATGGAGACGCTTCCAACCCCACTGCGCAGCCATGTGGTCCTGTCATCTTCGTCGATGACGGCAGAAGGCGTCGAGTGCTTGGGGCCGTCTTGGGGTGGGAGGACGCGAAGGGGGGCCGACGACATTTCCGTATGGAAAAGGTTTATGGCTCCAAAGGCAACGTCGCTGCCAATTCGAAAGGGGTGTTGTTGGACCTCGAATTGTGTGAGGGGTTCGGAGCGGGTGCTGTGGACACCCTGTTCTACATGGAACTCGTTCTCGGGGGTGGTTTTGTTTTGGCGCGTGAGTTTTTCGACATGCTGGAGGACAAGAACATCGTTCTCGACGTCCCCTGCGACATCGGCCCCTCCCTGGAGCTCTCGTTGCCGTTCAGGCTGTGCGGTGGTTGCGAGTCAAGTGGGGCGGCGACGGAGGGCGGTGATCTGGGTTCTGGTCCAGCTACTCAGCTGCACCATGGCGAGAGCCGGGGACAGTTCAACGACAGCGAGGACGAGGGGCCTGCAGCGCCATTGAGGGACACGCACCGGTCTGTGTTGTCTATTCCAGGGGTCGACATTGGCGATCCGGTTCAACGGGAGAGTGCGGAACCTACAGGAAAGGTGGCAGCCTCTTTGGAGGTCGCCTTGGAGGCAAGCGAGGGCGAGAGTGTGGATGAGGTAACCGCGGGCGGCCTGGGCACGCAAGGCACTCCGCAAAAGAGGAGGGGGGATCGCACAGACGAGTTCGTCGGTTCTACGAAGAAGCTGAAGAGCAAGGCCCCCAGGACTGCGGGAGAGAAACGCAAGGGGACCGAGGGGGAGCAGGGCCGACAGGTTGCCAAACGGCCGGCTTCGAGACAGAAGTAGCCTGCGTCTGGAACTTCTTCTCCACCGACGGAAAGGCCTCCAATCGACGTCGACGCTGGGTACTTCCTCGAGTACAAAGAGGGCGTTCGGACAAAGAGGGAGTTCGAGGTTAGCCCTGCTCAGGTCGTCGACCTCGGAGAGTAGGAGGACCTGTACAACCAGCGGTCCCTGGATCCCGTGCTCGTGGAAGGGATCAAAGAAGCGATGTGGTTGGCGTTCGAAAACAAAGCGCAGTCTTACGATTTGCCTACCCTGAAGCTGGCACCGCTGGGGCTTGATAAACCGACTCCGAGGACCAAGGCAGAGCGTCTGAGGCCGGAGGATTGGAGGGATGAGCTGGCGGGGCAATACTACTACTACACGGTGTGTGGGCAGCACAACGCGGCTGCAGCGAGGTCACAGCTCGGCAGCGAGGTGGCCAGGAAATACAATTTCGGGCGGTGGCCTGCACGAATGCTCTGCTTTTCGGACGACCACTTCGAAGGGTACTTCCTTGTCAATTCCCAGGACAACAAGAAGGACCTGAAGGCGCCCCCAAGATAGCTGAAGTTGTCAATGAAAGACATTAGGTGGCAGTGGAAGCGCGACGGGTGCCCGCGTGTTGTTATGGGAAACCCCAGCGGAAAACAGGCTCAGGTCCGAAAGTGGCGTCAATTCTGTGAAGTCGCGCTCAATATGACGCCGGACAACAACTTGTGGACGCTGGCAGATCAAAAAGGCGACGATGTTATCAGGAAGCAAGGCGCTGCCCTGTGTTCCTATTTCCCGCTGGCGATGGCAGGGGAGAACGTATGGAAACTGGCCGTCGAGTTTTTCGATAAATGGGAGACTGGTAGATTGCTCGGCCACGACGGCGCAAAGTGGATCATGCGGAAGAAGAAGGTCAAAAATGTGAAGCCTGGGGTTGCCTACGTCGAGAACGACAAGACGGGCAGGAAGAGGTCGCGTACAACGTCCCTGTGGACCCGCCGACAAAGAAAGGCAAAAAGGAGAAAGAGGAGGGCGACTGGTTCGTTCAAGTGCCTGAGCCAGACGCACATTGTTGGAAAGCGATGGAGTCGCTGATCGACAACGAGAAGTGCCGCGTCCTGAAGAAGGTTCTCGCTTGCGAGGTGGTTTGGGTCCAAGCCGGCTCCGCGGCGTTGGCGAAGCTCGGGAAGCTAAGCGTCCAAGACATGGTTCATTTGGTGAAGCGCGACCGGGTGCTGGTGCGTCTATGGAACTACTACCAGTTCAAGCACGAGAAGAGGCCGGACGCCGATTGGAGCCAGAGGTGCCCGTTCCTGAAAACAAGGTCCGCAATTTTCAAACAGTTTGAGAGTCGTGGTTTGGATGCAGATTTGTGGGACGGTGTCGGTGCGAATACTCTTACAAGGGTATCCGCCCTCATTTTTGCAGATGACAGAAAATAAGTTTAGTTTAAAGTATACCACACGAGGCGTGGCAGTGTCAGTAATTTATGCTAGCTGAAGGTTGGCTAGGAGTAGAGAGTGTGTGGGCGCGCAGATTTAAGGTGCGCGTGATTCCCTCTCTCTAATCATGATTGTGGGACCGGCATGAATGCCGGTTGTTTTGTGTTATTATAAATATTATTTATTTTTGATCAAGTTAGGATTTGGGAATATTTTTTTTCCTTTCTTCTGTTTAGTACGATTGACGGCTCAGTGAGCATATACGGACACATGGTGGATCCAGATGATGGGACCTGATGGATACGACCAAATAGGGGTAGCCGCGGCACGGCCGGTGGACCGGTGCGAGCTTGCGGCAGCCGTGCGTACAGGCGCGGGCCAAGAAGTGGCTCAGGGCGATTCCTTGGCCCTGAGCACCGTTCGTTACCACTTTATCGAAGATTCCGCTTCTGCAAGTACAAGGTTTGGGCTTAGCCCTATAGGTTACGACATTAGATTAACACTATGAAGGTTCGGGGATCGAGGCTGGCGAGCGCCAACGCAGCGGCAGCGGAGCATCCAGGAGGAAGCCGATGGGGTTGAGGGCCGTGGGGTTATCCCCCTTGGTTTTGTCAATGGCGGCATCCGAACGGTGGTGGCGTTTTCTAAAAATAATTTATTTTAGTGTCGTATTATTTTTATACACCCCGGCGGGCCGTTGGTTTGGACGAGACGCCGGATCTAATGGCCGACATGGCAGTCGAGGACCTTGAGTGCCTGCCCCGGTTGACGGGTCCGCGTGTTTGGGGTGCTGGCAAAAAGTCCTCCCTTACGCCGTAGTTGAAAAATCACGGCGTGGTCATGAACACGACCTACATTTCGGGTACGGTGAGGTCATGCGGGGGCACCTTGTGTTCGCAGGGGAGGTGGCGTGGAGTGTGGCCGCAAAACTACTTTCTGGATTGCGCCGGAGTACTCCGTTGTATAGCATCCCGGGGATCTCCATAACAGCCACACCCGCGCTCAAAGCCTCCAGCGAGGGGACATGTGGGGGTTGCGCCCACCGATCAGGTGCATTACCTACTGCAGCAAGTGGGTGGCACCGGCCAGGGGTCAGCCGGTATCACTAAGGCAGGGCCTTTTCAATAGGCCGGTCACAGTGCCTCACCTCCGGTTCCCTCCCCTATGGGCATCATCGGTTTCTGCTCAGGGCCACTTGAGAGGGGGGGACGGGACTGTCGGCATACATCTGAGAGATGAGCTGCGGGTCCTCTGCGGGCCTAAGAAACAGGGCGGTGCGCCACAAGCCCAGGCGACGGCCACAGGCGCAGAGCAGCGTGGGGAACCGGATAGCGGAGTGTCGCAGGGGGCGGGTACAGCGGAGCACAGTGCGTGACGGGGAATCACAGAGGGAATGAACCCGGGCGCGTTTCTGCGCCGGATCCATTCGGGGAAGGCACAGGGGAGGAGCGGAGTCGGCAGCAGAAGAGGTAAGGCCGAGCAGTCGGGAGGCCGGATGAAGGCAACGGAGAGGAGGTGCCGTAGCTAGGCTGCGCTGACCGGTGCGGCACGTTAGTGTGATGGGCCGCGGATTGTCGGACTGCGCTAAGCGGAGGAGAGCGCAGCGAGGGAGATGGTAAAAACGGGCAGTCGGGCCGGCCACTACGGCTACTGGGCGTTGTGCCCAATTACAGTGGGTGAAGCGGGCAACGGGTGACAGGGAAAGAGCAGGGTGGCACGAAGGTGAGTGGACCCAGACAGGGTTCCACACCGGGTGCATGCAGGCGGGAGACAACGCAGTGACGAGAGCGGCTATGGCCGAGCAAGGAGTGCAGCCCTCACCCGATTCCTGAGGGAATCGGGCGGACCAAGGGAGTAGGTAGGGGTTTTCGGCAAAGGCGAGTCGGATTATGAAGTCAGAAAGGGCGGGAAATAAGCAGAAGAAGAGGTAAGGAAGGATTGGACTGCGTGAAGATGGCAGGCGGAGGAGCTATGGAAGGAAGGAAGAAAGTTATACCCCTCCCGATTCTCAATGGAATCGCGTGAGGGGAGGGGCCAATTCGGTTATTTTGGCCAGGCGAACTAGAGTATGAGCTTAGTCTTAGGTAGAAGTTAGTAAGAGATGAGGTGGAGAAGAAAGTTAGTGCGCCGGGGCTATGGCGGGAGAGGAAATGGAGGGAGAGGAAAAAGACGTTGTTGCCCGTTAGTGGATGGATCGCAGTGGGGGAAGATCCGAAACGAAGGTTTCGGGGCAGGGCGAATCCAACCGTGAAGTCAGTTTTGGGAGAGAGTAAGTATATTAGAAATTA